CTAACCTTTAAGATTGTTATTACAAACAATATGAATTCCTCATTTGAAAGACTCTTAGAAGCAAGCGCCACAAGTGTCGCGCCTCTAGTGGTTCACACCCAAACCTTAGCAACCAATGAGCTTGAAGAGAGAGAAGAAAGAGGTGAGATTTTCAGCCCTAGATTCTCTAAGAAGGATTGGACAAAAATATGAGGTTCAGGGTCCTTTATATATGTACCAAGAAACCCCAGATAAGTTCCAAAATAATAAAATAACATTATCCTACTTTTGGAATTTATTTGGCTTCTTAATTATCCTCCAAGGATAATTCTAGATCCTCTAGAACCATACAATAACGTCCAAGACCTTTTGAAGGTTCTACAATGCCTCTTGCTAACATATTGAACAATTACACTTTAACCCATGTACTTTTAATTAATCCAATTAATCCCAAAATTAATTCCAATTAATTTCTGATTAACTTTTAATTAAATATTACTATTTCTAATTAATATATTATTCTCAAAATATATTAACAAACTATTTATTTGATATCTGATTAATTTTTTAACCAAGTAATAAATTAATAAACCATTCTTTCTCTGTAAAAGCTATCCTATTCAATTGCTATGTTTCAGGGCAACCCAAAATGACTGTGTTACTATCAGTTCAAGTTTATACTAGTTATAGTTATGGGCTTAGGCACATAATCCAAAATTTTATTCATCTGTTCATCAACATCATGTTCACATATCATCTCATTTCTTATTCATGTCATCTCTATATATTTATTTATTCTAAATAATCTATCATCACCAATTTCTTTTGTTGGTTGAATCTATTTATTGACGATAAATGTTAGGGTTTTTGTTCATCATCGTGTTCTTCACTCTACCCTATTTGATCCGAAAATTGATTAGTTTGTTGACTGTGAGTTGTTCATGGTGTTGTAAAGGGTGAATTCAAATTGAAGGAGATGCGAGTTTCATTGGTTTTTGGTTAGATGTAGATGTATCGAAACTGGATATTTTGATTAAATAATGATTCAAAATTAAGAGTAATTTTTGATAGGTTTCATCAAGTGACTGATTTCCATAATAATTATTTCCTATTGCACTTTGTGTTTAGTTCATGGCTTTAATTATAAGTAAATGATCAAATTTGGGTTGTCAATGGGCTTAAATGATATATGGGTTTACAGATATTGAACAAGTTTGGATATGTGGCATGCACATTCTTTGAGCTTTCATGTTATTTTGCAAATCTTTGGTTTCCATCCATGATGAACGCGACGTGTTATGAGATTGGACCATATGAAATCACTCAAAAAAAGAATCATCTTATGTTGATGTTTAATCCTCCCAAGAACCTGCTATCATTTAAGTCTCTGTTTGATGTCATTCCAGCAAGAATTGAAACAAAGTATAGAGGATTATAAACTTACAGTGATTTAGTTTATGTTAACGATGGAAATAACTAATGGAGAAGATAACCTACTTAATCTTTTCATTATTGTTCTTGTAGATTCCAGTATGACTAAAGAATTTATGGAGATTATGAAGATGATTATTGAGATTGCGAGAGTGGAAAAGGGGGAAATTGTATGGTTGAACACTTTATTTCACTGAGCTTCTTCCAATAGAGAACGAAAGAAAGTCAATACCCTAACTAGCTAAAAAATTATAAGCTGGAAAACAAGTAACATGTTTACCGCTTCGTTTTGTTGAAAGTGATCATTTGTACGGGACAAAATTCACTTTGTGCACCCATAAAGCAAAAAATAAATAAGTAAATAATAATAAAACTTTTACGGACTAAATAGACCAATTCTATAAACTTCTTGGGCATTTATGTCATTTACCCGATAATAAAAGAGGGGAAATGAAAACAATTACCTATGGATTACCTACGGAATTAAAAAATATTCTGCTTTTTTCACTTTCATAGGTAATTTTCTACGAAATACTTACGCACAATTAAACTGGAAAAAAAATTGTCTTCTTCAAATTTTTGTCGCTACTCCGTAGGTGATTACCTACGGGTTATTAAACATGATTAAAAAGATAAGTTTCATAGGAAATGTGTAGGTTATTGTCAACGGATTTCCTACAAAAGATATTTTGTGGTTGATTCGAAGGTATTTCGTTGATAGTTACCTACGAATGTTTTCCATTGGTAATTTCATAGGTAAATGGATAGTTTTCTATTAGTGGTGTCGAGTCAATGGGCACTAGCGAGTTTGTTTTTTGGATCTTTCAATAAATAATAACAAATTGATCTAAAATTATATATATATATATATATATATATATATATATATATATATATATATAGGTTCAGGTTCATTTGAGATCATGCTAATTTTGTGAGACGGTGAGATCAAATCTAAAAATAGTTTTAAAATGCAAAATAAAAGAAAAAATCCAAAAAAAAATTTAATTATTATTTTCGGAACATTAATTATCTAAAAATAATAATTAAATAAATAAATAAATAATTACCATTTTTTTTTTTGAAAAATACATGAAATATTCTAATAGAATATTACACTATAAATATTCTAATGTGGTTTTTAGAATGTTAGAATATTGTATTTGATTTTTCAAATATGTAGAATATTCTAATATTCTACTAGCATATGTAAAAAATGTACTTATTTATTTATTTTTTTTTTTTTTTTTTTTTTTGGAAAAGATAGATTCCGAAAATAATATTTGAATAAAAAAATTTCGAAAATTTTCAATTATTTTGCATTTTAAAAAAGTTATTTTTTATCTATAAATGAGTAGCTAAGATTGCGTATCACGGTCTCACAAAAAATTAGGCCGTCGCACATGAAGCTAACTAGATTCTATAGAGATATATAGATATATATATATATATATATATAGATATATATAGATAGATATATCATATATATATATATATCTATATATATATATATAATTATATTATATATATATATATAATCTATATAGATTAATGGCGGATTTAATTAATTTCCATAAAGATATTATAATTATGGAATATCCTTTAATATACATATAATTATGGAATCATTTAATATACTAAATTCCTATTGGTGTAATTCTAGTATACATAAATGTAAGAAACAAAATAACTTAGCCATATATATATATATATATATATATATATATCTATATAGATATATATATATAGATATATATCTATATATATATATATATATATATATATATAGGGCTAGGTTATTTTGTTTCTTACATTTATTGTGTACTAGAATACACCAATAGGAATTTAGTAAATTAAATAATTATTTAATTAAATAAATATAGATATTAAATGATTTACATGATTATATGTATATTAAATGATATCCATAATTATAATTCTCTTTTTATGGAAACTAATTAAATCTGTCATTAATGTCAGCAATAACATTCTTTCAAAATAAATTCGCATCTAGGTTTTATATATGAGTTCGTATTTTGTTTCAGGACACACTCACTTAAAATACAATAAAGTTGCATGGAATATGAAGAACGAGAGTGTATTCTACTATAATACACTCTCATGCTGGTGGAAGACACTCTCATTGTTCTATATATGAATTCATTCTGAAAGAATATTATTGTTGACATTAATAAAGAATTTAATTAGTTTCCATAAAAATGAATTATAAGTATGGATAGCATTTAATATACATATAATTAATATTAAATTCTTATTGGTACATTCTAGTACACAATAGATATGAGAAACATTTGAACCATCTATATATATATTATAGATATATATATATATATATATTATATATAGATAATATAGATATATATTATATATGATTTCATTATTTAAAGGAACGCTGTAAGAAAAATAAAACTATAAATAATAAAACATTTAACATTTTAGTTAAATGGCTAAACAAAATACCCAAAATACTTTATAATAATGCAAACAAAGTAAGTTTGTTTTTTTTTCATGCCTTGATATATAATTTGTATGTGCGGAGGGAAATGGAATCTTTCCCACATAATCCCAAGGGTTTATGCATTTGTTTTAAGAAATCAATGCAAAGTGTGTTCGAATATCTCTGATACCCAGGGATGCTATTAAACTAACACTGCACATCCTTTCAATATTCACATGTAGGGGACACATATTCTTTTTTAGAGGCAACATATATTTCACATACAATCATTAATTAAACTAGAGAGAGGAGTGAGACTGATTTGAATCATATCTTCTTTGATATCACCTGTATTTCAACCCTTAACTAGACGCAACCTAAAGGGCGCATTTTCACTCCAAAAGGCCAACATGAAACCAAACAAAACCTCCATGCGCAGATCCGCCAGAATCTATATATATGCCGCAAAAATGGGGTGTAATAATCCTTCGATAATCAAAATCTATACAAATCTTTACGTGTTGGTGTTTGCATGTTTCACATGATAATGATCCTATTCAATTCCGCTATATGCAAATATATCCATTTTATTAAAAAAAGTACTGTACTCCTTTTTTCGTATAGTGATTGAGTATTCCATTAATTATACTTGTTTTATCGGTACAAATAAATCATTAAAGTGAAAATGCAAAAACAAAAAAAATACAAAATACAAAAAAATTAAAAAACAAAACAAAACAAAAACAAAAAGAAAAAAAAATCCCGTTTTGGCTTTTTGCAATTTTTGGAAAAAACCATGGAAACTAGAATGCAGAATTGCAATAAATACAATTATCCTTGGCATTTTTGGTCTAAAGCGGTCAATCTTACAAGGTGTAAGGATCTTTTTTGCGTTCGCACAGGATTTATAGCAATTTTGCAACGCAAAAATAGAATACGTGTAGTAAATATTGTTTAAAAGCCATATCAGTACCTATAGTAGCAAACAAGAAGAGATCATAAATGACAAACAATAAAACAAGATTAATATGCAGATGGTTTTCTTTAACTTTAAAAAGATGATGGAAGAGGAAAATCACAAGTGCATGCTCTAGAACAAGTACCTCAAGATCTCACTTAGAATTTGTCTCATTCATATAGTCAGATCCAGAGTACTTGCCCTTTTAGCTTTTTGATCATTGCTATGATCATCTTCTGTTATTAACTTTTTTCTGTTTCTTGAGAAAGATGGTGAATACAATGACAATGACAAATTTCGTTCTTCTCCTTCTCCATCGTCATGGTCTTCTTCCACAGCTTTCGGGCTCTCAGTGCTTCCTGAGTGGACCCCAAGAGACAGATTTAAATCAAGAATCGGATCAGATGCCTTCCTCTTTGTTCCTTTATGCTTCTCAAGACTTGTACTTTCTAAATCTAGAGGGATATTTTGATGTTCTTGAACCTTGAATGGATTGAGTTTTTCGGTGGGGTTTGGCAGCTTGGAGTATTGGCCTTGCAACATGTCCATCTTCTCACAGATTCTTGATCCAAAATTATCATTAACTTCCTGCGTTCCCCATGAAAATTTTTCATTAAGAGGAGGCAGATTACTTTGCATACTACGATTTGCTTGTTCCACATGGTTTATTGCAAGAATTCTATCAGCGATGTTATAAAATCTTGGTTTTGTTTTTTTGAAATGAGCAATGCTCCCTCAATGCGTTATGCATCCAATCACGCCGATACGGCGGTGGATCTCATATCTTTGAACGCCAAAAATGGATAATTAGTAAACATTTAAAAGATGCATACAAAGAACAAACTGAGATCTAAAGGTACAGAAATGGTACACACAAGACACGTGTGATTGAAACTGATATTTTACCATTCGAATTCTAATTTTCGTGTAGTTTTCATATATGTTTTACCTGAAGGCTGAATCATATGTTCGGTTGTAGCATTGAAGCATGGTAGTTGGCTAGGTTGAAAATATTTCGATCTCCACCTTCAATCCTTGGATCAGCTACTGCAATATCGAGATATTACATGAATCACGTCACCAAAGAGAGCGAGAGAGAGAGAGGAGAGAGAGAAGAGGAGAGAGAGTGAACCCTATTTTGATTATTAGGCTACACAGTGAGGAGTTAGCATACCTTGGTTTGGAATCCTCGATCTTCTTGCTTCTATACATCTGATGAAAGAAACACCCAAAATTAAGAAAATAATTAGAATCCATTTTGAGGTTAGAATTCGATATAGTCAAATCTATCGTTGTACACTTTCGTGTCTATTAACAGTAGAAGAGCCTGTAATGACTTTTGACATGAGCGATGTGAAGTCCTTGATATCATCAACTGAAGAACCAGTTTGGGAGTCGCTCCTGCAGAATGGAATTAAAACTGTCAAGAAAAAGTCGTTATGATCTAGAAGCTGCTCAGGACAACTCGAACAACATAAACATGTATGGTTACTTACTTTTTTGTCCCGCCAAGCTTCTCGATTGCCTGAACAAACGAAGATGCAATCATTGGTCCATCGGAGTCGAGGCATCTTAGATCGGACATAAGGTCGGAACAGATGGCTTCTTATCAACTCTCCTCTATCGTGCTATTGCTAGAACTTCCCATCCTTCAACTCCACAACTTCCTTTGACTCGCTTT